AAGTATTTTTAACTTTCAATGGGGCCCAAAGGTGTCACAATCTGATAAGCCTTAAAAAAGAAATTGTGATTCATTAACTCGAATAAAGTTGCATATACGTTAGATAAATTAACCAAGTTAATGAATATTAAAAAAAAAATGGTAAAATGGGAATAAATCCAAATGAAAAAAAAAATAAAATAAAATTTTATAGTTATACAAGGTGCAAAAAAAATAAAACATGACTTTGTGTAAGATTCAATTCAACCATAATAACAGAGTAAAACTGATACCTTAGGCTATTTTAAAGAAAAGTATCTCACTTTGCTTGGCTTCAATGTACGTATGGAATTTTATACCGCCATCTAGTGGTAAACGAGAGTTATTGCTTATTCCTTCATTGAGAAATGTTTAAATTGGCACCGAATGAAAAGCAAACATGTACGCTTAAAAATTGTAAGAATGCGTTAGGATTAGTAGCAGGTTGTACTAGTTGTTAAGGTTGTAGCCTATAAAAAAAAAATATTAGACATATCGTAGGAGTATTTAGCATTTCCCATAAGCTTTATCTTTGAGTTTCTGTGTAGATATACCATTATTCGGATATGGAAGAGGATAAGGGCCACTGGGAAAAGAAAAGTTAAAAGATTTTTAAATATTATTTCGGTTTAATATGGGAAAAAAGTCAGAATACTGCCTTTTTTTTTAGAATTCCAACTTTTTTGTCAGAATTCTTACTTTTTTTCTGAGAATCTTGACTTTAATCTCAGAATTCTGACTTTTTTCTCAGAATTCTGACTTAAATCCCAGAATTCTGACCTTGTTTTCTCAGAATTTCAACTTTTATCTCAGAATTCTGACTTTTTTTCTGAGAATCTTCACTTTAATTTCAGAATTCTGACTTTTTTTTCTCACAATTCCAACTTTTTTCTCACAATTCCAACTTTTTTCTCAGAATTCGGACTTTTTTCTCAGAATTCAGACTTTTTTCTCAGAATTCCAACTTTTTTTTCAGAATTCCGACTTTAATCTCAGAAGTCTGACTTTTTTTTTTGAGAATCTTGACTTTAATCTCAGAATTCTGACTTTTTTCCCATATCAAACTAAAATAACATTTAAAAATCAGGTAACTTTCTCTTCTTCTTTTTTTCAGTGGCCCTAATCCTCTTCCATAACATTAAGTCCCTTTTTTGGTTGTGTTTCAGGTGAAGAACCTAGAAGATCAAAATAAAGCACTGAAGGAAAAGCTGAAGATCCTGAAAAAGAAGGAGGACTATGCCGGGGGCGTGGACGCCTTGGTGAGGGAGAAAGATGACCAGCTGCGGAAGCAGCTTGAAAAATTGAAAGAGGATGAGGAACAACTGAAGCTTGAGTATAAGGACCTCAGTAATATAGTGGACAAAGCCAAAAACAGGTCAGCAGCATCAATCTTGTTATAATTGATGACACTTGTAGTGCAGCAGTGTAATTTTTGGCTTTACTTTTTATTCTCTATTGTTTGCAGTTTTGAAGAGGAACTTGATAAGGGTGAAGAATTAAAGAAAGAAATTGCTGAGACTAAAATGGTAATTAAACAATATTCTGTTTTCAGCCTAAAAAAAAAGCAAAAACATTGGACATCTTTTAGAGTGACTTTTGTCCTTTTCACTCAAATCTTTGTTTTCGTGTGTGTTTGCAACAGGAGGTAGATGAAAGCACACTGAAACTGGTAGAACATGTTCTGGAGCTGGAGGACCTGACAAGAAAGCTGCAGTTCCTCACGGCTGGATTTGATGAGGTAGTGGGGTATAGACAGCTTAGGAAAGTTATAATATAAAATCTGTAAAAGACTGTAGTAGTTTTTTTGAATAATCTTTATAAATCTACTATCCTTGCTTTCTTGCTTGCATCATTCTTACTTCATTTTTTTTCTTTTTATGTGTTGCTTAAAGCCTTTATATTGATTTATTTACTTATT